ATTAGATTTGAAGTGTTCCAGATTTCGAAGCCAAACTCATCGCGTTGCTGGAGAAAATCACAAATGGAACAAGGGTGGAGATAAATGCAACAGGTAATATTTTCATGAGCTATAATGTCATTAGAGACCCTTGATTTTTTTCCGCACCCTAAGGTGCTCAACCTTCGCGAGCTGATATGCCGTATTTCTGTTGTTGTTTAGAGTGTCCAGAGAGTATGCTTGGGCGAGATGTAGGCGTATTATACGAGCCCAAGCTCCACCTTGAATTTACAAACACACACACGGTTGGTTTGTCAGACAGCAGCCATGCAACAGAAACTACTTTGGTCGTCTAGGGGCATATCGTGTCTTTGCTATTCCAAAAACCAAAAAATCAAGACCTTCCGGTTAATTTTAATAAAATTTCAGCGTCGATTTGTATGTCTCTGTCTTCTATCGTAGTGCAGCTTTCAGGTACTGAGGTACGTTTCCGTCCTGGTATTATAACAGGAGGGGTCCTTACAATGGATTGCGGAGTGGAGCGATGTCTATCCTACTTTTTGGAGCCCATTATTCTCATTTCACCCTTTTGCAAGCATGCAATGACAGTAAAGCTCAAAGGTTAATGTCATCTAGTGTTTGATAGTGACTATATGAGAAGTTTTGCTTACGTTCAGGAGTTACGAACGCTCCAGGCGAACTATCGGTGGATGCTATCAGGGCGACTTGGCTCTCCGTTTACAACAAATTTGTGCTTAACGATGAAAAGCTGGAGTTAAAGGTCAGGCACATCAAAAACGGTTAGGGCTATGGTCTCTGGAAATGCTGTACCCGTCCAAATAGTTTTTTTTATTTTATAGATTAGCGCTCGCGGTCTCAAGCCCGGAGGTGGTGGATGTGTCACTTTTTCGGCACCAATTGTTAAAACACTGCGGCCAGTGCAGGTCTGATTCAGCACAAGCTTATGTTTTTTTATGGCTAATTGTTTTCTCTACTGATTTCATTTCTATTACTTTTTTATGCAATGACTTCTCTGTTCGTTTTATCATGGTTGTCTGTTGCAGAGAGAGAAGCAAGGCAAAATTTGCAAAATACGTGGTCAGGCCTACGTCACGAAAGTAACTCCTTCGCTAGCTTACCGAATGATCGACTCCGCAAAGAAAATGCTTCATGGTTACATTGCCGATGTTCACATAGCTGTAGACCAACGGAAAGGAGATTCCGGTGGAAAGTTAGTCTTCTGCACCTTCATCTTCTTCATTGGCAACCAAGTAGCGTATAAATTTCAAGATGTGATCTAATCGCAGCTTGTGGGTTAGACGGAATAGTGTCAACCTTGTCGACTTTTCTGTTAGCGATTTTGCTAAGATTCAGTGTTTTCATTGGAAATATAAAATTTTATCCGAAGATAGTTCTTATAATTTTCAAAGGAATATTTAGCTCTCCTGGTTACGGTTTGTTCCTAACGGCGGAAACCACAGAAGGAGTCACATATCACGGTGAAGCGATATCAAAGCCGAAAGGAGATCCTGGTGATCCAATAGTAGCAGAAGATGTTGGGACCAATGCTGCAGCAGCACTTCTTGAGGAAATCTACAGAGTATGTTTACTTCATCGGTGTTGTAGCTGAACAGCGGGTTTCGTTTTTAACTCAAAGTATTTACTAGGAAATCCTCGCACATATTACGAACCTTTTTTTGTTTTGCTCATTGCTTTTTATAGGGAGGATGTTTGGATAGTTCCGCTCAAATTTTGGCGAGCTCCTTCATGGCTCTTGGACAAAAAGATGTATCCAAATTCCTCTTTGGTCCTCTCACAGTGTACAGGTATTGCTGCCCGAGAGCCTTTTTTGTAGTGTTTTTTTCGAGCTCGTTCTCAGGGTGGGGTTATTGATTTGATTGAACCTCTATTTATTACAGTGTTCATGCTTTCCGGAATTTGAAGTCATTTTTCGAGATACAGTTCAAGGTTGAGGAATGGGAGAGAATACGAAAGACGGAGAGTGGTAAAGAAGAAGATGATAACTTACGGTTAGGTAGTAATCAGAAAGCGCTTGTTACTGCTCTGGGAATAGGTTTTAGTAATCTCAACAAGATTATTTTGTGACATTTTCTTTGTATTGTGGTTTTCGTTAATCCATGTGTTTGTTGCTTGTTATTGTTATTGCTTTTGCAAAAATGTTCAATACACATTTGAGATTATTGATTTTCAAGTTCGTTTTTGGTTTCAACCCCTTCAATATATTACGTGCAGAGCTCTGCTATTGCTAACCTTTTTTGTTCCAAAGTGTGTGATTATTGCAGCTTGCACCGATGTTTTGTGGATTGCCTATGTCAGCTGATGTGTGGCATTTTTTCTTGAAGGAGGTCGACAATGCGGATACTAAAGAAAATGGCTTCCCTCCATCTGTATCGGCTTGGGAGTGGCAGTGGCTACGCCAAGTCGTTGCTCTTCCCGGGAACCATTTGGATCTGAGTGATCCTTTTACACCGGCTATTCAATTCAGTTTGGAGTAGGTTCTCCGTTTTCATTATTCTTGCTATTTCAGTATTACAAACTTTTAAGATGCGAAGAATATTGGATGGCCTTGCGCCCCGGACCAGACTTCCCGACACAACCGCCGCAAGTAAATTGTGCCTACCAACAAGGTTTTTCGTTCGAATGGTCTGTTAACGAAGGGCAGAATCCAGGGGTTTGTTCTAGAGTATTTTTCATTGTGTTCTCGCGGTTCTTACTGCGTTTGTGAAGAATCGAAGGATTTTGGTAAAAATTGATCAAGACTAGTGTGGCGATCGATCCTTTATTTTTCTTTCCAAATATTCATGTTCTTCGATCATTCGTATAATATAATTTCATTTGTCACCTAATGGCTGGATATTGCCTGGACGCCGTTGTCGTCTTTTTTCTGCTCATCTTTGTGCAAGATTGACAGTTTCACTCTCAATAGCACTCGATTTAGGTATGCACAACTCTCGCTGATCTCGTGCAGTGCTACTATGACTACTGTTCCGCATTCGATTTGGCAATATTGCAAATAAAGATGCTGAATAATGACAGGATGATGCTCTTAGGTTACTCATTTCACGAGGAGGACCACGAATGCCTTGTTGTTCAGATTCGTGTCATGGTTCGTGAGACCTCTTAGTTTGACTTGTGGAAAAATTATTTGTTTGTTACTTTTTAGCAGGTTCCAGAGGAAACAGTTGTAGTTCACGTCGATTGGCGAAATCCAACAGATTTTCCGCGCTTCATTTCATGCTCTGAAGAGCAGAGATTCCGTAATTTGAACTGCGATGAATGGGACGCGGATGACAGTTTGTGTAACAATCTCGCGAAGTTTTTCATGGAAGGAGCTTGTGAAGGTGAGATTGATTTTGAAAGAATGTTCTGTGTTTTTCACAGCGGCAATCCTAGTCCCTTGTCTTCGCTTAGTTTCTCAACAAAGGAATAAGCTAATATCCTCAAAATGACAGTCTTATCCAGCTTGTCAAGGGTAAACTACAGTACAGTTATTGGCAAAGTATTACGGTCTGTTCCATTAAGAGTAAGACTATCTTAGACTCATCGAGATTATCGAGTGAGAGGCCTTGTGTAAGAACTTNGTCCCTTGTCTTCGCTTAGTTTCTCAACAAAGGAATAAGCTAATATCCTCAAAATGACAGTCACATCCAGCTTGTCAAGGGTAAACTACAGTACAGTTATTGGCAAAGTATTACGGTCTGTTTGATTAAGAGTAAGACTATCTTAGACTCATCGAGATTATCGAATGAGAGGCCTTGTGTAATTCCCGTGCCATTTTTTTATGCGTAGTGGTCATTGTACAGAGAATCATTCGTCAGGTCATCTAGTTGAGTGACGCATATATTTCGGAGCAGGTCGAAGGAGTCACAATCACGCACAACCATCACTATTCAGTGTAGCACCGGAATTCATTGCTGTTATAAACCACTGCTTCTACAAGCACCTTTCATTGACCTGGATTGACAGTTGATCACCTCCTCCGGCAGGTTATTCGCTTGTTAGTTCTTATGACTGCTCCAAATTTCAAACGAGTCGTTCGAAAGCAGGGATGAAGCCAACTTATGTTAATGGCTCGGCTTTCACACAACTGATGACATGGTTTGATACGATAGATGCGCGCGTGGGTGACCGCGTTAGCAGCGGCCAGCTCTGACATCTTGTTAGGACTATTTATTATGGTGTGGGCTCTCACCGTACAGTAGGATCTTTCTTTTTCCGACTGTTTAGCAATAAATCTTCGGCCGTAGCTACTCTTTTTCTTTTCTTTTGTTTTTTCTTTCTTTCTGCTTTGGTGGTTTTCCCTTTGAAAATTACTTTAACTGCCTGGTGCTTTCCTTGAACTCCTTTGATCGCTTTACAGGTTTTTTTTATCATAGTTTTTGCAGTAAGGTTAGACAAATAGTAAAGCAGGGGGAGTTGAAGTAATGTAGAGGAAGAAAAACAGTGAGAACTAAGAAAAAGACGAGAAACGTTCGACGGAAAATTGTTGCTCCCTTAATCGAAAAAGGGGAAATACCGAAGCTTGGCATATGATCAGACCCAGTAATAGATGATTTCTTAGGATAGGGTACTGGTCGTCACATCGGCGGGGGAATCTTTTCCTCCTGCTCACCAATCGCCCTGTACCCCTAGTTCGAGTCAACTCTTGCATCGATACCCGCCCACATCAACATCAGAGTGTCGGTTTGCTCGTTCAATTCAATTAATAGGTCCACATGAATCTGAAAACGAATTGAGTGCGGTAACGCTCCTAAAACGTTTGATCAATGATAAAGCTATCCCCTTACATTAACTACTATTTGTGCACATATTGTTTGCGGACCTGGCTCCTTTCTTATACTATTTGCTTTCAGAGGGCTAAATTGTGCCTTGCTTTTGACGACAGTATCATACAAGGCGATCTATCTCTCTATGACACCGTTTGGAAACCAATTGCTGCTCAGTGAAGGTGAATTCTTGTTCATATTTTGATCATATTATTACGGTGTTCAAGGTACATGAAATGTTTCAGATTGAGGCTCTAAAGATAACGAAAAAAGGATCGGCACTAGGGACATCACTGGAGAAGACAAGAGAATTGTTCCTGAACAGTGATTTCCTTTATTGTTACTGGCTTTCTCGTTATTTACAGAGTTTATTGTTTTTTTTTTATCAGTAAAGTTTCAAGTGAGAAGCATGTGATCTGTTGTAAGGGTCTGCATCCCTTGCTTTCTTATATAGATCTCAATTTTGTGATTTTGGTGCTAATTTTTGCCATCACATTGGCTGTTTTATATTATTAGCATGAGTTCAAAGAAGAGGAAAGCTGTAAAGGAGGAAGACTTAAGTGGATTAGATTCAGAAACCTTGCTGAAGCAGTATGAAGAGGTGAGGAAGCATTACGGCCTATCACTTTTTTTGGGGTGTGTTTGTGAATGTAATATGAAAAACCGTCATTCAATTCTTTTCGCAGGTTAAAAAGAAGCCGACTGTCACAAAGGATGATTTCAAGAATCTGCCCAAAACTGGACGTGGAAGTGCTTTACGAATTGC